AAGTAAAATAACATACAAATGATAATTTGAACTGAAAATGCCCATATCCCAAACATTCAAATAGCATTAATAATTTGTCATACTGCAAGAAACGGATCCGTTACCTGTCTCCCCCCATAACCCCGAGTGCAGCTGCGCTTCTTTGCGCGGAGTCCTTGGGAACCGAGAACGCAGTCCCAGGGCAACAGGGACGCGCCGCAGCTGCGCTGGCATGGGGGGGCGGTGGATGGCCCCACGAAACCGAGCGCGGGTGCCAGTGCAGACGGGCGGGACGTGCCTGGCGCGCCCGGCGCTGCCCCCCCCCCCGCCACCCCCTCCGAAACATTACGCATACAACTGCGATAGCCCGCCCCGCCCTGGCCCCGACCCCACCCCGCTCCCCTGGCCTCGATCTGTTCGACTCCGCCCCGCCCCCGCCGCCACCTCCCACCCCGCCCCGCCCCCGCCGCCCTCCTCCACCTCCCCGCCGTTCACCTCCACCTCACCCGACCCGCCCCCGCCGCCATCCTCCCCTGCAAACGCCTCCGCCGCCACCCTACACCCCCCGCCCCCTCCCGCCGCCACCTCCACACCCCGCCCCGCCCCCGCTTGCCGCCCGCAGGCTGCGGAAAAAGGCTGTTCGGGACGCGGGTGGCCGACCGAGCGCATCGTTGCTGAGAAGTCAGCTTACACGTTTCCGAACTTTTTCGTTTGTTTTGCTTTTGTATCCGGAATAACAAAAGGTCTCCCGGCGCTTTAAAAAAGAACAATGCCATTTGAACTCGTATGTACGTACGTGCCACTGAGTCATGCACAGAACACGTCGGTGACCTACATGCAAATATTTACGAGCTTTTGATAACACGGGATGCTAAATCAGGTTTTGTATTTAAATGTTAGAAAGCATTATGTGAAAGCCACAATACTTTTCTCTTATTGCGAATTCGTTTGTATGATGTGAAGCTTTTTTCGTGAAAATTGTCAAACAAAAAATGTCAACATTGTTGTAACAAAAAAATGTTTCAAATCTCTCTCTG